TGCAGGGAGGGAAGTGGGCGAGCCCCCCCGGGCATGCAGGGAGGGAAGTGGGCGAGCCCCCCCGGGCATGCAGGGAGGGAAGTGGGCGAGCCCCCCCGAGCTTGCAGGGAGGGAAGTGGGCGAGCCCATGCTCGTGCAGGGAGGTAATCCTGCAAACAGAAAAATGGGGGGGGGGCAGGGGGTTGGCTGACATTTTGTAATGAGTGGCTTTGGTGTTGATTGGAAGTAACCAGTAAGTGCGGCCCTTTTGTACACACATCTCAGTATCCATTTCATTGACGGTGCACTTCATAAAATACAGAGCTCATTCCCTATTATCCATCCCACCAGTGAGATCTTCCTTCCAGCACACACAGCTCACTCCCCAGTATCCATCCCACCAGTGAGATCTTCCTTCCAGCACACACAGCTCACTCCACACTAATTATGCCACCGGTGAGATCAGCAAATCTTGTTTTCTCCCATTTTGGATCTCTCCATACATGCACTCCAGCGATGGCTGAATGGTATTCCCTAGGGCGGGTGTGATGACAGCCTTGGGCCATGCTTGCAGAATGTCTGTTGAAACAGCCTCTTCTAGCCTCCATCGAAAGCCCGTGTGACAACACTGGAGCACAGCTGGGGGACAGGAACAGAGCACTCCTTATAACAGGAAGTGACTGAACGGGGGTCTTCATGGCAGGATCACCAGGGATTATTCCATTGAAATTTGCAGAGTTAAAAATATTAAAGAATGACTTTTGAAATGACATTATTATTATTATTATTATTATTATGTGTCAGATGTTAGTATTAGGATTTACATATATTGTCATCTCAATATATAACCAAAACTGGAATATCCTTTTTGGGAGATTTAACTCTTTAAACAATGTTGTGATGCAGGTGTCAAGATGCAGCTGCTGGACCCGGCTGCCGTTCGGACCGGATCAATGACGGGCGGGTTGGTTCAGGAGTTTGAGCACAGCGTCCTTCCCTCTGTCACTCCGCTGGCCACTTTGCTCTGCACTCTTCTCTCCATCCTGGTAAGGAACAGGAAGGTGCTTGATGGGCTGCTCTCTTGTCTTCGCTGCACTAGCCCAGACCACATACTAGAAGCTGTATACACAGTATAATTGAAGCTAATTGAGCTTCAGTACCATCCGCAGTCACTGACCTGGAGTATGTATCCAGACCGGGACTTTTTACAGGTTGTGTACTTCTTTTGGGTCCATGGCACGTGTATATGTTGTTTACCCTGACCAGTAGTCTGTCGTCCTCCCGAAGTATAGAGAGACGGAATCTAAACTGCTCGTATGAATCCCATCACTGGGTAGCTTAAAGGGTTAGTTCACCTTTTCCCAAAAAAAGGAATAGGTGAACTAACTCAGAACTGCCTCCGGGGCTGTGTAGTATAGTTGTGAGATGTGTGGCCCTTTGTCGTATTCTATGAACTGACTGACTCCATCCTTTTGTTCCCTAGCCATCAGTTCTCTCCCTGTGGATGAGACCCCGGGGACCTCCCGGTTTCCTCCGCTGTCTGGTCCTGTGCGCCCTCGGGTCATTTATGTTTGGTTGGCATGTACATGAGAAAGCCATCCTTCTAGCCATACTTCCACTAAGGTAAGGGATCTCTGTCTTGTATATATCTTAACATTCAGGGTTGGGGCCCCACGCACTACAGGCTGCCTGCAGGAGGGGGCGGAGACCAGACCAGTCACCCTGCACAAGGTGAGAGAGAGCAGCAGTGAGCGGTCTTTGTTCCTTCCTTTTGCTGTGATTGGAGAGCTGTACTGGAGTCGAAGGCGTGTGCTGTCGGAATTCATTCTACCAGAAAGGAGGGGCAGTGTAGCCGCCATCTTTATTTGTATTCCAGCAGTGCACTTATTGTATAGAAAGAGTGCACAGCTATATTATTCCAGTAAAGTAACCCATTGCTGTGTATAACCCATTGCTGTGTATAACCCATTGCTGTGTATAACCCATTGCTGTGTATAACCCATTGCTGTGTATAACCCATTGCTGTGTATAACCCATTGCTGTGTATAACCTGGGGCTGTGTATAACCTGGGGCTGTGTATAACCTGGGGCTGTGTATAACCCGGGGCTGTGTATAACCCGGGGCTGTGTATAACCCGGGGCTGTGTATAACCCGCGGCTGTGTATAACCCGCGGCTGTGTATAACCTATTGCTGTATATAACCTATTGCTGTATATAACCCGGGGCTGTATATAACCCATTGCTGTATATAACCCATTGCTGTATATAACCCATTGCTGTATATAACCCGGGGCTGTATAACCTATTGCTGTATATAACCCAGGGCTATATATAACTTGGTCTAAGAAATAAACTATACACGGTGCGCTCTCTTCATATATCTCCCACATGCCATTGAGCTTAATACCAGTCATGTCTCTTCCCTTCCCACAAGGCCACACTGATGCTGGCAATACACAATACAATCTGATTGTCCTTATTATTAGGGTCTACCACCAACCAATGTAGTAAAAGGGGAGGGACTGATTGGGTACAAAGTAGGCCCTTATATATAGTTTTGGTTGTTTGATCAGACTGGCCAGCTTATGGGTGCCATTGACACACAATGGATCCAGTGGAAGGCGTTGGTTGGCAGGGGAATGGTTGCAGAGTTGGGATTGGTAAAGATAAATCACTATTGAAGTAACTGAGAGACCTACAAATGCCGCCAGTGATACCCTGTGACAGCAACCCTCCACTGTGTCATGTTGTAAATATGGAATGTCTGTGTCTTTCAGCATACTGGCGGTCAGCAGTGCAAAGGATGCTGGGATATATCTGATTCTGGCCACCACTGGGCACGTCTCCCTCTTCCCCCTGCTCTTTACAGCACAAGGTAAGAATCTGACCCCAGAAGACTGGTCCTCGCTTTGCTTGGATAGGTGATTATAAGGGACACTGAAGGAAAACATAAATTACAAGCTAGGTGATTGGGTTTCATTCTTTCACACTTATTTTGTTTTTTTGTTATCTTTTTGTGTATATATTTTTTTTTTTTTCCCTCTGATCTTTTATAATAGATTCTGCTGGGAGGAGGAATATCAAATGTGGTGCCAGTAATGTTTTTTTATGGGTGCTGAACTTTGATGACGGTGATCTCTATCAGTCTCGTAACATGTCCCTAGTCTCTGACCATCTCCCGTAATATGTCTGAAGTCTCTGACCATCTCCCGTAATATGTCTGAAGTCTCTGACCATCTCCCATAATATGTCTGATGTCTCTGACCATCTCCCGTAATATGTCTGAAGTCTCTGACCATCTCCCATAATATGTCTGATGTCTCTGACCATCTCCCGTAATATGTCTGAAGTCTCTGACCATCTCCCGGAGTATGTCTGACAATCTTCTGCAACATGTGTGCAGTCTCTGAACATGCCCTATATAGTATGCCCAAAGTTGCTGACTATCTTTGGTAATATGTTCAGCCTCTGACTGCTTTCTGTAGCATTATATGTCCCGAACATTATGTGCAGTCCTTTGGTAATGTCGGGGGTCTGCATTTGAGGACCCTTATACAAAAAAGAGATTGACCATCACTGACAGCGATTTAGTAATTTTTCTGTAGCCCGTGATTGGACGTGGGAGGCCTTCCTAAGGTAAAGCAGGGTGTGTTTGCAGGACACGGGACAGCTCTGAATTTCAGTCATGATGGAACAGGGATTTATTTTTATTTTTTTGCACTTATCGAAATAAAACATTCTCTCAGAGCTCCATTGGATAGAGCAAATAAGAGGAGATCTTTGTTAGGGTGGACATTCACCATACACCAGATATGGATCTTATTTGGCCCTATTGCTGTGATATGGTGTACATACTTTAATTCATCCGGTTGTAGTAAAATGCTGTTTTGGTTTTGCAATCAATAATTTTTCACCACTTTCTTTTAGAGCTTCCCATCAAGATCTTGCTCATGGCAATTTTCACAGTGTTCAGCATCAGCTCATTGAAGACACTGTTCAGGTAATCCACTAGCATTATGTTACTTTCATTCATATTACAATAGGGGAACCCCTAATATATAATAATCCCTTTTTATAATTCTTCTGTGCACTATCTGAGCATATGGGTCAGAGAGATGAGGGTCATGTATTGGGGGATATGAGAGATGGGCTCATGTATTGGGGGATATGAGAGATGGGCTCATGTATTGGGGGATATGAGAGATGAGGGTCATGTATTGTGGGATGTGAGAGATGGGCTCATGTATTGGGGGATGTGAGAGATGGGCTCATGTATTGGGGATATGAGAGATGAGGGTCATGTATTGGGGATATGGGAGTTGGGCTCATGTATTGGGGATATGAGAGATGAGGGTCATGTA